GTTCCTTCCCGGCAAACCCAAGGATTTATGGTCACAATTTGCCTTGCCACACCCACGAGTGAAGTGTACGATGTGGGGGTGTGACGTGGTCCAGACCGACTCCTTCTGAGTGAATGTGTTTAATTGTAGTGGCCCTGAGTAATAAAAGTGTACCTAAGTATTGAATGTACTGTTTATGACAGGTCCGTCGTTGACGGAAAACTGGGAGACATACAATTAAACTTCAGGGTTAAGAATTATGCCTTAACGGCAGACCATAAGTAAAGCTTTCCCTGAATGGGTCTGCAGGAGCTGACCGGGATTGCCACTAGGTTCTTTATGGCCCTAGAATCCTGTGAACCCACTTAGTCCCCTGAAGAAGACTTTCGCTTCAGTAGTGTATTGTTTGGTGCTACCCTCCAGTCCGTTCCTACCTCCAGGCAACGATAAATGCACACCTTTAAGCGTACGGGTGTCCACTGAGTTGAGTAAATGCGGGGTAGACAATTTTATGTGACAATTTCCTGGGGGTGACTTACTGAAGAGGAACTAATGAGCAAATACGCAGGGCTAATGAAATAATGCCAAGGTGTCAAATATGCCCCGAGGAATGGACCATAATTCGTCATTTAAGAGTTCAAATAAATAAAGACAACCTGGAGATTTGAAGTGTCCCAAATATAGTAATGTGCTTGACTGACTTGGGACACAGAGGGAGACTTGTTATCGTTAAAGCCTAATGACTACAGCATGCACCAATAAAATTAACCAAGAGAGTCTTGCTTGCAAAGTTTTCAAAAATGCTTCGATCATACACTAGGCTTAGTGTCGCCCACTTAGTACCATAAGAGGAAAATTGTTGATACAAGAAGCATGGAAGCTAATGTGCTTGGGGATGAAACCCTACCTGGAGGAATTGTTGAAAGGTGGGAAGAACTAATAGAGGGAATAATAAAAAATTACCAATGTTACGTTCCCCCCGTAATGTGGCCCGTCAAGAGGGAGAAAATGTACTCCACATTTTTTGGCGATGCTTCGAAATTAGCTTATGGAGCAGTCCGCTTACTTCTATCAGATGTAAATAGTGCCATTTCTCTTGTTTGTTCTAAGCTAAGGTGGCTCCAATCAAATCACGCACCTTACCTCAGTTGGAATTCAACGGAACGGCCATTTATGTAGGTGTCCAAATTAGCCAATTTAATATAAGAAATAAATTGGCGAGAGATAAATATCAGCGACACCGTAATTTGGTCTGATAACGAGGTATCCTTTACAATGATTCGTAATGGTAACAGTAAGATTGTGTATGTACAAATCAGAGTTGCTGAAATCAATCAAATGCAGGAAGAAACAATCACAGTTTGGGTCAGCATATTTAACCTTTAAATCACATTCCTGGTGACGAGAACCACCAGCTTGACTTCTTGTCTCGAGGCTTTGACTTATGACAAATTTTGTGAGTGCTTTAATCGTGGTTTAAAGGCCAAGTTGGCTTGGTGGACAAAATTAAAACTGGCCGGTGCAAAAGGCACCATATCGCTCCTGTCGAAATTACGGTGAGCACCTCTCCGGTCAGTGAGTTCCCCTCCTTAGCCATTGATATGAACAGGTATTCTTCCTTACCTAAGCTATTAGTGTGACCAGTTAGTGTTAGAAATTTAAAAGTAAGATGAATATCTCACAATTTTCCCCATCCCCTAAAACTGCTACAGAGGGTACAAGAAGAAACCTACAGGGAGGATTAATTCATGATGGACGAAAAGATTGTGAAAAGGGCTCAATAATAGATAAGCTAGCCTGGGTCGTGTATTTAGAGGATGATGTAATTAGGTGCAGAGGCAGGTTTACAAAATGCTGAATGGGGCACAATATGCTAAGCAACCCTATCTGCTGCCCAAAAACTCATCCACCTGACAACCTTGATTGTCTTTAATGGCCCATAATAACGTTGATGCACATGGGGTACAAGATACCTTCAACTGTTATTCCGGAAACCTTCTGGAATCCACAAGGACGGCAAAGTGTAAAGGGGGTTATCAAGTCGTGTGTAATAATGCGCCGGGTGATGGCCAGAACCTACCATGTACCCAAGTCCTCCACCATTGCCAAGGAACGCGTGCAGTTGTAAAACCATATGATGTGACCGGAGTGGACTATAGTGGTCCAATCATTTTGGACGGGTACTTCAGATGGTGTCCCCGTTTTAGTTTTGGGGGAAGGTGTAGTATTGTCAATTACTTTTACAGCTACTAGGGCTGTTCATCAGAAGTGCTCCGGAACTTGTCTGCAGAACAGTTCATACAGCTGTTCCCGGAAAATTGCAAGCTAGACGATCCTGTCCAAGATGATGATCCAGATAAATGCCAACCCAATTTTGTAGGCAGGTGCTCAACACTTGATGAATTAAATAAAGTGATGATGTACAGTCTTTGGTTGACCCAGCGAGGGTGTGTCCTGGAAATTTATTACTCCCAGAGCCCCCTGGCAGGGGGACTGTACGAAAGAATGATAGGTACAGGTGAAAAGATGGCTTCGTAAGGTGCTACACAGGAAGAGAATTGATTTGGAGGAGTTCCGGGCAGTGTAGGTGGAGGCAGAGAATCGAGTGAACAATCGCCCTCTGTCATACATAGCGACACTCCTGACGCGGAAGGTACTGACTCCCTATCAACCTAATAAGTGGACAAAGTTAGAAGCTGCGCCTATCTGAGAGAATAATCCCGAGGGAAGTGATGATGATTATAAATAACTGACTGGTTGAGTGACAAGTTCAAAATGTTAAAATAAGGTAAATTGTTCCATTGGTCTGATTTGTGGCTAAAGAATATCTTCCTTACACTACGTGAACACTTTTATGGTGCGCCAAAGGCAGTAAACCACAGAACATTCTACCAGGTGACATTGTGTTTAATTGATACGAACAACATCGAACAACTGTGGCCTCTGGGCAAGGTAGTTACATTATACCCAGACGCACAAGGTGTTGTCAGAACGTCAAAGTGGTTGTGTCGTGGTCATAGGAAAGTTTGCGTACTATTAATAAATTAATTCCCCTTAGAATTAAATGGTGTTCAATCCCCCCAGGCAGATGGACACCTAAGGACAGTGACACTAGTGATATTGAAGACACTGACCGGGTAATGCAAGAGAAACTGTAGTAAGACCCAACTATGAAAACAGCAGCGCAATCTATAGAGGTGCTGGAACCGTCTCCCTGGAGGAAGACGCAATTTAAGTCGTCTAACCACGACTTCCGCCCGGCCGCGGCTGTGTGAGGAAAATTTTTACTTTTCCGAAACTATTACGCCCTAAAATAAGGTGTTTTATGTGCCGATATGAGTCAAATGTATTTGAAATGGAGTAGAACCAAGGTTCCCCTTGAGGCGCATGCGCGGATGTGCGGGGGAGGGAGGCGCCGGATTGTTTTGAATGGGTGAGAAGCTGAGAAAGCATGGAACCACGAATTGACATTCCACGGCGGCCTAAGGATTAATTAGGCCTCATTCATAAATAAGAAGTGTCCGTAACTGTTCCTGGGTGGAGAGTGAGGGAACGTGATTTACGGGCCACGGTAATAGAGTGGTAAAAAGTGTGATAAAGTAGACCAGTGTCAGGTGCAACGCCAGGATGTGTCCACACAGGGACATACCCGTGTGTTACAACGCATCTCGCTCATCGGCCTCAGAATCTTAATGGAGTGACCTCTAAATTGTGTAATAGTTATGAGACGTAAAATCTTCCTTGTGGAAAAAAAAATGGTAATGTAATCAGTGATAATAACATTTGAGTTAAGAGAATGCGGATGTGAAAATAGAGCGCCTTGCCCGGTGAACGTGTGACTCTCGTACCGGGGATAATGGAGATTTATGAATCACGACTTCCTAACCGGGACAAACCGACGGATACCTCTCCTGCCGGAAGGAGAACGTTCCGGTGTAGCAGGACATCGAAACTGAGATGGGTGAATGGAAGAAATAAGGAGTATCAATCACCCACAGTTAATAACCCTTCTAGTTATAGCAAACTTATGCTGGCCAGTAATGTTATTTTATAATTAATAGGTTATGAGTGATCCAGCTACATCAAGTGACCACCAGAGAAACATCGGTTAAGTGGTGGGTTTATGTACAAATGTTTTTCCTTGATGGATGTATCCAGGTGTACCCTACCCCCCCCCCCTCCCCTTCATTCAGCGAAACTACTGATAATCTATACAGTCCCACAATTAACTAGTAGCACCGTACTTGTGTGTGCTACCCCAATCCATAACTGGTCTCGGATAGATATGGATAAATTGTGAGGTCGAAGGGGCCACCTGCAGCTACCAAGGTGGTTAAAGTTGTTCCTCACTATGTCTACACGGGGTGAACTACGGTAAACAATATGGTTGTCTCCCAATAGAATTACTTGTATGTATATAATGTTGAGGTACATACAGATAAACACCCTAGAAAATTTTCCATATCTGCATTGTTTATTCTGGACCCTATTTTGAAATTGGCATTTTTTAATTTGTGTGAAATTGGCCAAATTACCAATTTCTGACCACTTTATTGGGTAGTTCAAATCGGTAAATGGGCATTTCTTGTACTCAACTGATAAAAAAAATTGGAGTTCTAAAGAACTAGCTATGAGTTTGGCAACCGAACAACGGAATTGGCCAAAACATGACTCAAATTTTGGCAGAATTTGCCGGTGCGTAATGTCCCGAGGACCCTGCTAACTTCACGGGAGCGTAATTATTGTGAGTTTTTCGACCAGATTTCCGTTACATTTGGGAAAAAGATTCTATATCCATTTTCAGAAGAATTTTTTTTTTTTCCAAACTTTTGTGACATAGAATGACAGTTTCAGAAAGGGGCTTGCAACAGTTCAAAGGGTTAATGCAGAAAGGTATGCTCATTTAATTTAACCTCTACCAGTTCAAGAAATCTAACTTATATTTTACCTCCTTATCCTTTATTAAGTGCATATGAAGTTTTGTTTTATGAATGCATGGCATCACATGTGTATTATTGCAGATGTCAACATTATGGAAGCAAAAAAAGATGAGAAGAAGGGCAGTGAGGCTCCGTTCCCACAACTTGTCTCTGTCTCATTCAACACTCCTTCATCATCACATGTCTATGCAGCTCCATAAGCCCTAAGTAAGTACCATTCGTGCTGTCCTTAATTTCAGCACCACACACCAAATAAAAGCAGATAATTAGCAGCTTTAGATTAATCAAGGAATGAATTTTCCATAGGACATGTATGGTGCTGTAATAACCGAGAAGAGAGAGAGAGAGAGAATGAGAGAGAATGAGAGAGAATAGAGAGAGAGAATGAGAGAGAGAGACTGAGAGAGAGAATGATGAGAGAGAGAATGAGAGAGGAATGAGAGAGACGAGAATGAGAGAGAGAGAGAGAATGGAGAGAGAGAATGAGAGAGAATGAGAGAGAAGAATGAGAGAGAGAGAATGAAGAGAGAGAGAATGGAGAGAGAGAGAACATGAGAGAGAGAGAGACTGAGAGAGAGAAAGAATGAGAGAGAAGAATGGAAGAGAGAGAATGAGAAGAGAGAAAGAATGAAGAGAGAATGAGAAGAATGAGAGAGAGAATGAGAGAGAGAGAATGAGATAAGAGAGAATGAGAAAGAGAGAGAGAGAGAAATGAGAGATTCAGCAAAGTTTGCTGATCCCCTTATATGTGGTTATATAGATGTAGCTGAGTATCATAGTACCATCCATGTGTTTTATTAGACATATCCCTTAGGCCTGTGACTGTAATGACTCAACGGGGTACAGCTTGAGTCAGGGTAGATGCGCTGCTCGTTCTCACTCGAGCGGACCAACCTACAATAGCAAGGCAGAACAGGCGCCTGGGCTCCCACCTCTCATCCACAGTCTGACAATATATAGTGTTACCATCCAACAAGTGTTACCTTCAAACCCTCTTATCTCCTTAACCCTTATAGTACTACCTTAAACCCTACATATTCCCAAAGCTTCATTATTTGATCATCACTTTATTTGTATTAGTCCCCTTTTTATTTGTCTCCTTTATTTTAGCTTAAAAAAAAAAAGAAAAAAAAATACCTTAGCTCATTATTTTTTTTTTTTTTTTTACATTTGTTAAATAATTTCAGGGGTGCTAGTTTTAGCTTAAGACTATTTAGCTTTGTTTTATACTTAATTCTAACTATAGATTCACTTCAAATCTTATGATTACAAGCATTGATCACTGATACCAACCTCTTATTTAGATGACTTAAATGAATCAAAAACAGTTACTGTAATATAACTACACTGCAGAACAATCAAAGGCACATCTCAAGTGCCCAACACAACATAACTATCTTTAACTAAATATTCAATCTTTAAAGGAAGCATTACGATGACCTCATAGCATGACTAAATTCTACATGCCAATTGTCCATCATTACACTATCTGAAACCTGGCTAAAGCATGATAGTAACAGATGTCTATGCCATTCCTGTTTACACAAGCATACACAACTGTTGGCCAGACCAACAAGGGGGTGGCACAGCATAACTACTCAGACCAACTAGAATGTATCACTAATACTTGCACAAGGGATGAACATGAGGAATATATAATAGCTAAATTCAAATCCAGAGAATTCGTAGTTTGGAAGTTAAGGAGGAGGTGCTGGATTAACCAAAACTGTTTGTCCAGAGGGGCTGAGTTATAAAGGTTGTTGAGGTGGTTCGGACCAGTGAGAGAATGGAGCGAAACAGAATGACTCAAGAGTGTATCAGTCTGTGAGTGGAGGCAGGCGGGTAGGGGTCGGCTCTAGGAGGGTTTGGAGGGAGGGGGTAAAGGAGGTTTTGTGTCGAGGGGCTTGGACTTCCAGCACAGGCATTCTGAGCGTGTTTTTGATAGGAGTGAATGAGACAAAATGGTTTTTAATACTTGACGTGGCTGTTGGAGTGTGAGCAAAGTACATTTATGAAGATTCATGGAAACCGCAGGCCCGGACTTGAGTCCTGGAGATGGGAAGTAACAGTGCCTGCACTCTGAGGAGGGTGTTAAAGTTGCAGTTTAAAAACTGCTAGTGAAAGCACCTTCTGGCAAGACAGAGGATGGATTGAATGATGGTGAAAGTTTTTTCTTTTTCGGGCACACCCTGCCTTGGTGGGAATCGGCCGGTGTGATAATAAAAAATAATAAAAAAAAAAAAAAATCCAAATACCTACAAAAACCTCTCACATTGATAAACATCTACAGAGTTCCACAGTCAAACATTAGCCCAATTTATGTCAAAACCTAGGAAGTATGTATAACTGATGCACGCATGAACAAAGATCACTTAACTACTCTCAGGTGGACTTCAATATAAACTCCTGCAAGACCAGGACCCACACGTTACTGAATTCACAAACACAATGAGTAACTGTATGTTACTACCAACAGTAACAAAACCTACAAGAGTTTACAGAGACTAGTGTTTTCCCTACTTGACCACATCTGGACCAACACCATATCCCCTTTTAAATCAGCATAAAATAATTACAGATAATACCACAGATCCACTACCTACCCTACTTTCCTCATAACAACTCTTGGTAAACTGACCCCAAAGACACTACTAAAGTCACCTTCAGACTTCACAATGAGGCAGCCATTAAAACTTCACAACAGCAAGCAAACATTGATTGGCACACTGAGCTAGAAATCCTATACAGATATTGACGAATATATTAATAAAATTTTTCTAAAAAAAGACCCAATACCCTCTATAACAAGCACTCCCTAAAAAAACTAAAAAGATGACGCTAAGAGACTGAACAGTCCCTGGCTAACACCCAGGCATTCTCAAAATCCTAAATACAAAACACCAATATGAAAAACAGTACAGAATGGGTCACATAACGAGAGACCAAACAAAACGCTACGCGTCAATCCTAACCATAGCCTTGATAAGAAGGCAAAAAAATTGTATTATGAGAACAGATTATCCAACTTAACGTAGGTGATATAAAAAAGACCTGGAAAAACCTATTAGAAATTCCTTGACAAAAAAGATATCACGAAATAATGCGAAATAAATTAGTTTGAAGATGAAAGGGTTCAGAGAACCGACATATTGATAAATTAGACACATGTGCAACTCTTGGGTATCTTTTATTGGGGAAACGTTTCGCCACTCATGGCTTCATCAGTCCATATCTATAGAGAAACCTGAAGAAACAGGAGGAGAATGAGTAATCAGTCCCTCAACCTTGAGTCGATGTGTTCAGTCCATCGACTCAAGGTTGAGGGACTGATTACCTCATTCTCCTCCTGTTCTTCAAGATTCTCCTATGTATGGACTGATGAAGCCACTGTGTGGCGAAACGTTTCCTCAATAAAGTACCCAAGAGTTGCACATGTGTCTAATTTATCAACATGATCGGTTCTCTGAACCATTCATCTACAAACCTGTCAGACACTGCAACTTCTTGGGATCTTAATACTTAGGAATTCTTCGCTTGCCTAATTCTTGGGCACAACCTACTTCCACATTGAACAAATGTGACACTACCTATGACTGCTACACCTCTCCTGCCATACGGTTTATAAGCTGCTTCTCCGCTCATTCTGCCGTATTCTACTCAAGATTGATGGACTGAACACATCGACTCAAGGTTGAGGGACTGATTACCTCATTCTCCTCCTGTTCTTCAAGTTTCTCCTATGTATGGACTGATGAAGCCACTGTGTGGCGAAACGTTTCCCCAATAAAGATACCCAAGAGTTGCACATGTGTCTAATTTATCGAAATAAAATTAGCAAAATCAGATGAACCCCAACTCCCACCAACAGAAACAGCAAACAGACTCAATGATTTCTTCTCCACTATAGGACAAAACCTTGCCAATAAAATCCCAAGCTCAGATACCCCACCAAATGACTACCTCACCGGCAACTACCCGAACACACTGTTCCTAGCTCCAACTAACCCTTATGAAGTCTCCCTTATTATCACCGCACTAAAAAACAAGGCAGGAGATTTAAATACCTTACCACCCTTTATATACAAAAAACTGTCACAAGTGCTATCACCAATCATTGCAACACTCTTTAACAAATCCATAGAATCCTCCACCTTCCCTACAGTACTCAAAATAGCAAGGGTCACCCCGATCCACAAAGGAGGAGACCAAACAGAGTTGAATAACTATAGGCCAATATCCAACTTACACACCCTCTCTCAAAAATCTTCGAAAAATTAATTCATAAACGAATCTACTCCTCCCTTTATCTCCCAAAACATACTCAACCCCTGCCAATTTGGATTCAGGCCTAATAAAATACTAATGATGCTATTATACACATGCTAGAACATATATACACTGCAATAGAGAAAAAAGAAGTCCACTGGGATCTTCATTGACTTACGTAAAGCTTTTGATACAGTTGACCATGACTTGCTCCACGTAAAATTGTCACACTATGGTATAAGAGGCACTCCCTCAACTACCTCAAGTCATACCTCAGCAACAGAAGCCAATATGTGTACGTAAATGGGGCAAACTCTTCTGCGCAACCAATTACAGTTGGTGTCCCACAGGAAGTGTCCTTGGCCCTCTTCTCTTTCTCCTATACATAAATGACCTTCCAAATGCTTCGCAATTACTCAAACCCACACTATTTGCAGATGACACTTACATACGTCTTCTCTCACCCGAGCCCAGTCACGCTAGCCAATACTGTAAATACCGAATTACAGAAAATATCTACCTGGATGAGGACTAACAAACTTACACTAAACATTGACAAAACCTACTTCATTCAGTTTGGTAACAGAGCTACAGATGTCCCTCTTAACATAATGATAAACGGATCACCTATCACAAAGCTAACAGAGGGAAAATTCTTAGGAATCCACCTTGATAATAGACTCAAATTTCATACACATATACAACAAATTTCTAAGAAAATTTCCAAGACTGTAGGCATACTATCGAAGATACGGTACTATGTTCCACAGTCAGCCCTCCTGGCCCTATATCACTCTCTTATTTACCCTATCTCACCTATGGAATTTGTGCATGGGGCTCAACAACAATTAACCATCTCAGACCACTAATTACCCAACAAAAGGCTGCAGTTAGAATGATAACAAATTCTCACTACAGGCAGCACCCTCCACCA